TTAGGTGTTCTTTAGTTCCACTTAGGTCTTTATTTCAGTAGTGTAGTTTAAGTGTCAAAGTTTTTCACCCCCCTTGGTTACATTTATTTCTTAGATATTCTTTTGGATGGTGTTGTAAATGGAATTGGTCTTTTTAAATTTCTTTTTCAGATTGTTCATTGCTGGTATATAAAAACTCAATTGAGTTATGTGTTGCATTGTACCCTGCAAATTTACTGAATTCATTTATTAGCTCTAGTAATTTTTTATGGAATCTTTAGGATTTTCCTCATACAGGATTATGTCATCTGTGGGTAGATCTGGTTTTACTTCTTCCTTTCCAATTTGGATGCCTCTTCTTCCCCCCCAACCCCCCCAATTGTCCTGTTGAATAGTGGTGATGAAAGTGGGCATTCTTGTCTTGTTCCTGATGTTGCAGGGGGTGGGGGGGTGGAATTTCAGTCTTTACCCATTAGGTATGATGTTAGCTGGGGGTGCTTATCATCTTTTAACCCACTAAATCATAGGTTATCAACGTGTGGCCCCTGGACAGCAGCATGTGTATCACCTGAAAACTTGGTAGAAATGCTAATACTTGGGACCTGCCCCAGACCTTCTGATTCTGAAACTGTGGGAAGCAGAGGTTAGAAACTAGATTTAAGAAACACTCCAGGTGATTCTGGTATACACTAGATTTTAAATTTCTTTGAAGTTAGGATGTTTGTTTTGAGGACCTGTGCCTTATTTTTTTGTATTCCTTTTCATTCTCTTGTGCGATTAATCAGTGTGGAATAATTTTAAAAAATGAAAATAAGAAAAAGAAAGTTGGGGCGCCTGGGTGGTTCAGTTGGTTACGTGTCTGACTTCAGCTAAGGTCATGATCTCACGATTCTTGAGTTCTAGCTCCATGTCTGGTTCTCTGCTGTCAGCACAGATCCCGCTTCAGATCCTTTGTCTTCTTCTCTCTCTGCCCTTCCCTGGCTTGTGCTCTGTCTCTCTCAAAATAAATAAATAAGCTTAAAAAAAGGAAAAAAAGAAAATGTCAAAAGTTTCCCAAAGTGCCTGCACAATCTCTTATTTTGTCTACATGTTTTGAGCCACCATAAATAATTGGAAATTCATTATTAGACATTCATCAGAAAACCTCACATTTCATATTCAGTCTTAGATCAATGACAAGCAGCACAGTGCACTTTGATGTAGACCATTTGTTCTGATAGTGACTTGCACTATAATTATCTGCTTACCTGCTAGCTAGGGACTTATACTTCGGACTACTGCTGGCAAGAATTTCTCTTTTGGCTATTTAGAAAGACACGAGGGTCACTTTTATAGGGTTTATTGGATTTTATCACATCATTATTTTGCCTTTGCTTTTACTTTTCTCAGTTTCTTTTATCTTGCTATGTTTTCAGCCCCCTTACATCTTTTTTGAACAAGACAATATTTAACTATTAAGATAAGAATGTGATCTATTGCTACTAAGGACTATTGTTGAAAATAGCCATTTGGGCACACAGTATCAGTTTATAGACAAATACACTAAGTGTGTTTAGTCACTGCTTATTTACCTATTGGTGAATACTCCGCTTTTTAAAATACCATTTAAAATTGTCCAAAAGTGTGGGATATTTATTTATAGCTGGCCTTTTTCTAAAGCTGGTTTAAATGATAATTTATACCCTGCGTTCCAATTTTCCACCACTCTTACGTGTCTGACCCTCCTTTGTATGCTCAGCTCAAGTCCATCTAGTTAACCTTGCCCCCAGAATGGGCGAAGGTTCTGAGTTTAGCATCAGAGCATGGGTTATATACACGTGTGTGAGCTCTGGGGGTCGCTGGTAGCAGGAGGAAGCACAGAGTGAAGCAGAATGTTCTCACAGCCTTGGCAGGAGCTCAGAATCTCTCCATGGACATGTGTGGTCCTAAAAATACAACACTGGGCTTTCCTTCAGTCTCTTTGATGTGGGAGTATAGTCCTCGCATCATTGTAGGAATTACTGTTGATTGACTACACTGCTCTCCAGCCTTTCTTGTTCAAGGTTTGCTATAAGCAAATGAAAAATCATTAACAAATGCTAGCAGACTTCTAAGATGGTAGACCATGCACTTGCATATTGCAGTTAAATTTTTTAATGACTATAAACAATCATGGTTCTTATTAGTGTTTCACATCTTGTTCAGTGGGGGGAAAAAAGGAATTCTTGACATTTGAAGTCATAGGCTAAAACCTGAAATTGATCAAATTACCCAAGGCATTTTTTTCATGGGGTTACTTGGCTCTTAGCAAACATTCTTCTTCCATTCTAAAAATTGTGCATGTGACATTTTTCATCTGTCTATGGAAGAGTTCATGCGGTCTCTAGCTGGGCTTGCTTCTTAATTACGTTCCCCCAAAAAGAAATCTGACCATAGTTTGGAAGTACTGTATATATGTGTTTACTTTTGTTTTTAGATTATTTAATTGACGTATACATATCTGTGCATATCTACCTATATGTAACGTAAGTGTTTAATTAAAGCTTCCAAATACATAAGAAATTCAAAAATTTTTTGAAAAGTTTTAATAGTTCAGTGCTTTCCCAATATAGTCAGAGAGGAGATTGGTTTGAGAAAAGTGTGTGGCTCCCTCCTCCTTCCCCCAATATATCAAGTGTTAGTTTGAACAAGAAAAGAATAATTTTCAGCATATTCTAAGAGCTGTATCATTTAAGTCTTGTGTGTTGATTAAAGGGTATTGATTAAAAAATCGAAAGGAACCTAGTAGTCCTAGAAGTTTAGTAAGAGCACTTTGTTTTCATTAGGGAACGGTAGTAATAATATCAGGGGGGTTCTCAAACACAAACAGTTCAGCAGAGGCAGTAAACTCACTGATTAGGGGATCAGTATTTGGAGAAACTTTAACTTCTCATACCACCATTGTGAATGGATTTCATTTTGCTAGCTCTTACGCTCCTAAATGCCTGTGGGTATGGCGGTGTATTTCAGAAAGGAGAGGAACTTTGGGGTTCCAAGGCACAGCTGAGTTTTGGGAGCCATCACTATATATTTTGCAATGCCCTTTGAAAGGGTTTGAGGACAGTGACAAGAGGAAGGGGGAACAAGCATGTTAAAGTCATTTGACTACTTTCGAAATCAAGGCGGGGAAGAAAACATTTTCTGGCTGTAAATCACTTAGTTGTCCTACACGCTTTAAAGCATTTTATACAAATGACTTTAACAGTTTTAGGGGTCATGTCTGGGGTTAAGAGACTGTTTGCCTGGTGTATATTTCAATGATTAAAAAGCAATATTTTATGGAGATGGTACCATTTCTGTTCACAGTCTGTACTGTGAAATATTTGATATTTATCTGATGAGCAAGGTTTGCCTCTTAAGTCAATAATACATCAAATGTATTCTTGTTGAGTTTGTGTTACAGGAACATGGACTATTTAAAAAAAAAATTGTACTCAGTGTAATTGTAACAAACAAGACAAAGCAGAAAGTTACAAATAAACAGAAAAAAATTGTAACGATTTTGATGAGCCGTTATTGTGCCATGCAGCGCTCTAAGCACTTTTTCCCGTATTATTGAACTTAGTCTTTAAACCCAACCTAGTGAGGTAGGAATTGTTATTCTCGTTTGTAACTGTTGAGAAGTGAGACTCAGAAAGTCTAAATGAATTGTCTAAGGTCACACACCCAGTGTGAATAGTGAGCTAGGGACTGAAACCAGTCAGAGGCCATGCTTTTAACACCTGCTTATAAAGCTGAGTGCATTAACCCTTGGGTTTCACAGACAGTGCTCAGGCTACGGCTGAAATACTTGCCAATGTGTTTTTTAAAGTGAGTCAGATAAAAATTTAGTAAATGCCTAAATGTCTTGATGGCTGGGGCCAAAATGCTGAGGCTGAAGAGAACGATGGATTTAGAAGATGATTTGGAAAGTGCCTTCAGTGGCTGGTGGTTGGATTAGTTTAAGTCGCACTTAAAAATGGAATGGGGTCATGCAATTATCCACTCTCATGTCGTCGTCGTCTTTTCGCTTTCATTGATTTGCCAGTGTGTTAGCATGTGCGTTACTGCTGTGGTTTTGTATGTGTTCAGAACTTATCACATAGTTTAGTTGCTTGGTATATTGTCCATGGAGCTGGAGTGAATGCTATAGTCATATGGAGCTTTACGTGAAGATTAGCATCTTTTCTGCCTTGGTCCTAGTTTTTACCCTGTACTTGCAGACCTGCTGATAGGCACCCAGTATCCTTGTCCCTCCACACACCCTGCACTGGCCTCCCCTGCAAAGTATTTACAACACTGGATTGTACTCGCAGGTGAAAGGTGCATTATGCTTCCAGTGTAAATGTAGCACTGGGTAGTGGGATCTGTCTTCTTTTGCCAAGAAAAGTGTTGTCTTTCTCTTGGTTTTTGTTACAGCCAAACAATTTTAATTGCCCACAGCACAACGCACTTTAGGAGAAAGCAAATAAACAACACAAGGCACTTGGAGCCAGGAAGTCGCATCTCAGACTAGAAACACAGCTTCGGACGGACATTTGGGCAGTGGGTTGCTAAATAGGGCAGCCAGCTACCAAACTAAAAACCAGTGACCGTGAGCTTCTTGCACTTCTAGGGAAATCATTTAATCACAGGGTCATTGGAAGGGTGTTAGAAGTTGATTTTAACCTTATGATGATCAGTTTCTTTGTAATTAAATATTAACTCAAACTATGTCTTAGGTAACTGACTTCAGTAACTGCTACTCTTTGTTTTCCGTAGACATGTGGTTAATGTTTATTGAATTTAATATTTTGAAAATAACGTCTTGTTAACTGAATGCTTTACTTTGAAATAATCCAGGTAAATTTGACAGGAGTGTTCCCGATAATGCCTGCTTTTACAGTAGGATCTATTTTTTTCCCTTAAAAAATAGTCCAAGTAATTAATTCTCTTCAGTTTTGATAATATTTTTAAAACACCAATATCATTTTGAATAATGTGTGTTTCTTCAACTCTTGATATCTTACTCTTGTCTCTTGTAGGACCTGCTGAAGTTCCCATGATGTCACCTAATGGATCCATTCCCCCCATCCATGTGCCTCCAGGTTACATCTCACAGGTAACCATTGGATGGACTTCTCCGCTCATTATGGGCACTATCGTTGTTTCAAGAGAATATATGCTACAACTTAAAAACTTACCTCAAAATTAATTTCGTTAGGGTAATGCTAGAGTTGCCATCATTTTTGTAGCACCACATAGTCCTTCCCAAATCTTGCCTCTTAACTGGCCGGGGGGCCAGAGAGAGAGAGAAACACAGTAGGGCGCCTAGGCTGTCCTCAGCCAAGGTGCGTTGACACCTGATTATGCCGGAGAGATTTCCTTCTATCTGTACCACAATTTGCTGGAAAGAAAGAATTGGTAGATAGGTTTAATTAGTAAAAATACCAAAGGAGACATTGTTAAAGCAAATAGGGTCTGCCCCTCTATGATTGGAGTCTCATTTCTCTGCAATGTGTCCTCACCTGGGCTTGGTGAATTGTTGAGTATGATGAGGGGAGAACTTGGCTGCTGTTGTACTTACATTTCTCTGAGATATAATTTTTCTTAGTAAAATAGCAATAGCAATTTAAAAAGTGATAGCGGTTTCGGAGGTACGTGGGAAGGATTAGAGAAGAAGTCAAGATAAATGCTAAAGGAGAAACCAGACAAAGTTTACGACGCTCAGGGTGCCTGGAACGTGGATGTCTGTACAAACTTTCATTTTGTCCTGTGCTCACTGCAGGATGAGCACGTCCCTTCTCTCCCGGTACAGCTTCCTTTCCAGATGCCGAATTGACTGTTTTTCTCTCTGCCCATTTTGTTCTTTCTTTGTGTGCTTATGAGAGTATTCTGTGCTCCTTAGGAAAAAAAAAAATCCAGAAAAGACAGGAGAGAATAGAAAAGAAAATATTTATAATTTTACTACCCATGGAAGAGAATCATTGCATTAACATTTTTTGGATTATATTCTGGATTTTGTCCCTTTCTATTCTTCCTCTGTCTGCTTTTAAAGTGGTTTAAAATCTGTAATTTTCAGTTTTTAATGATTTTGTTAGGGTGAAAAAAATTGGCAGTTACATAGGAAAATTGCTAAAGTGCAGGCAGGAATCAAAGATTTATCCTTCTCTGATGTTAAAACTTAGCCATTTCTTCACTGTCTGAGCCATAGTGCAGCCACTATAATTTCATTTTTTCCATCCCTACTTTTACACGAGCCAATTTGACATCTTTTTTTTTTTTTTTTTTGAATAGTCAAAATGTCGGCCAGTTTCCCCACTGTTGCAAATAAATGACTTGTTTTACACAAGTCTTTGTAAATAAGAATCGGTAGAAGGAGAAAGGATGCAGAGCTGGCCCCTCCAGCCAGGACACGCAGTGATGGATCACGTTCACGTCACCAGTCAATTAACAGAAAAGAACAGGAATGTAGAATTCCATTATGTCTCCTCATTTATTTTGAGGAAGTGTTTCATTCCATTGAACCGTGTACAGTTCTCACAATTGTGACAGCAGAAATAACACCTCCTTTCACACACTAAAGGTCCATTTAAGGAATAGCAGTTAAAAGTTGGGACATTCTAGGGCAGAGAAGCTCCAGTGTGCTTTTTCCTTGCTAGTGGTGTTCCTGTGATTGCACTCACTACAAAACGTTTATTTGGCAGTCCTAGGAAAAACAGAAAAATTTTAGCCCGTGGTATATTTCTGATTCCCTGAAAACTTCTACAGAGAATCCGGGTAGAGGGATTAATAGCAGAACTGTAAACTCGCTTTCATAAAACTGATGATAGAAACGTAGTGCGATACTTTCTCAAGTGAGAATTAGGGCAGAAAATGCTAGAGGATATTGGAAGGATAGTAGAAATGGAATAATTTGGATGCTCAGTTGAGAAAAGAGAAAAAAGCAGTCTGTAAGGCATGTGTTCAATTTCATTTAGACTGGGCTCCTGAATCAGAAGAGAGTCCCAGCGTTAAGTATACTACTGATACCTGGCAGTGAAGTCTGAGTAAAACCAATTGCTTTTCTTTTTTTTAATTTTTTTTTTCTTTAACATTTATTATTGCAAGACAGAGAGACACAGAGTGTGAGCCGGGGTGGGGGGGGGGGGTGGGTAGAAAGAGGGGGAGACACACAGAATCCGAAGCAGGCTCCAAGCTCTGAGCTGTCAGCACAGAGCCAGATGCGGGGCTCAAACTCACGGACCGCGAGATCATGACCTGAGCCGAAGTCGGTCTCTTAACCGACTGAGCCACCCAGGCGCCCCTAAAACCAATTGTTCATATGGAAGAAAACTGACATTTCTACCAATGAAATTCTACATTGGTAGAATGCGTGTACAACATCTTTTTAAAGCGCACCGCACATACCCTTCAAGGAAATGGGGAAGGTGGAACCAAGAGTAAAATGTCTTAAGAGACTTGTCATCACCAAGAAATCTAAGGAGCAAAGTACATTTTGTCATGTAGTTGTGGAAAGAATCTCTCTCTCTCTCTCTCTCTCTCTCTCTCTCTCTTTCTCTCTCTCTCTCTCTCTCTCACTCTCTCTCTCTCTCACTCTCTCTCTCTCACACACACACACACACACACACACACACACACACACACACACACAAATTCTCCTGGCTGGACATATTTGAGAAGTGCCCAATACTGGTCTGTCCCTATGTGCATCACCTCTGCACTGTATCCCCACAGTTCTTTTCCTCAAATACATATGGCTCCCTCGTTCAGATCTAGAGTTGGGTGTACATCACATAGAAGCAGAGTTCAGGTTCTCTAGTATAGAGGATGGATCTTGAATAGTTAGCTTTGCTCTCCTTTTGAGGGCCACCTTTTCCTGTTGGCCTACATTGCTACCACCTTAAACTTCTGTCCCTGGGATACATCACAGGTCTTCTCTCAACTACATACTTTTGTACCCATTATTTCTCTCTTAGAATACTCTAGAGACTTTCTCGGTCTGACAGTTCAGTCATCCTTCTCATTCAAATAGCCCTCCCCAGTGTGACCTTTCAAGAACCTCCAACACAGAAATGGCGGTTCTGTTTTTCAGCATCTTTGGTGCTTTGCCGCCCTCTCCATCATGAAATACAGTATAATTTTATAGCCATCCTCAAGAACTCTTAGTGCCTCGTTGGGATTATATTTGAGAATCTAGCATACTGCCTGGTACCCGATAGTAGGTACTTGATAAATGTTTTTAAATGTAAGTGACTGGCCAAGCTGAAGTAAAGTAAATGTAGCATAGATTTGCTTCAAAGATTTAGAGGTTCAAGTAGAGTAATAAAATACCTGACAGTTGGAAAATTAGCAAGATCAAAGGGATGTATATCTACAAGAATTAAATTCTCTGTATGCGAACTTAAAGAGGGAGAGGAATGCCAAGACAGTGCAGAAGAGGAAAGAATAGTCTCTTCAACCCATGGTGCTGGGACTGGATATCCAAATGCAGAAGACTGAAGTTGGACCTCTACCTCATAGCATATACAAAAATTAATTCAAAGTGGGTTATAGACCTAAGTGTTAAGAGCTAAGACTGAATAACTCTAGGAGGAACATTTCGTAACCTTGGGTTAGGCAATCAATTCTTAGATTTGACAGTAAAGGCACAAACAGCAAAAGAAACAAAAAAAAAAAAAAAAAAAAAAAAAAAAAAAAAAAAAAAAAAAAAAAAAAAAAAAACAAAGAGATACATTGCATTTCATCCAAATTACAACTTTTTGTGTTCCAAAGGACACCATCCACAAAATGAAAAAGGAACTTAGAATGGGAGAAAATATATGCAAATCATATATTTCAGGAGGGACTTGTAAGATTCTTTATATATTCTAGATACAACTGAAGAATAAAAAAACAACCCAATTGAAAAATGGGCAAAGGACCAGAATAGACATTTCTACGAAGAAGTTGTATACATTGCCAATTAGCACGTGAAAAGATGCTGAATGTTATTGTTTTTTTATTTGTCTGTTTTTTTCTGGTGCAAAAAGGTGGTTTTATTAAAGCATGGGGCCAGGACCCATGAGCAGAAAGAGCTGCCAAGGTGCTGAAAATTGTTAACCATCAGGGAAATGCAAATCAAAACCACAATGAAATATACTCCACTCGTACTAGGATGGCTGTAGTTAAAAAGATAGATAATAGCAAGTGTTGGCAAGGATGGGAAACAATTGGAACCGTTATATACTGCATGTGGTGATGTAAAATGGTACAGCCGCTTTGGAAAACAATTTGGCATTTCCTAAAACAGTTTAATATAGAGTTACGTATGACTCAGCTATTCCACTCCTAGGCATATGCCCAGGAGGAATAAGACCCGTGTTAACGCAGAAACTCTGAGGTGAATGTTCATAGCAGGGTAATTCCTAATAGCCCCTAAAGGGAAACAACCCAGATGTCCATCAGCTTTATGAATGGGTAAACTTGATGGGGTATATGCATACAATGGGATATTATTCAGCCAAAAGAAGCCACTGATAAATGCCAAAATGTGGATGAACGTTGAAAATATTACACCGAGTGAAAGAAGCCAGACACAAAAGCCATATACGGTATCATTCCATTTATTTATAATGTCTGGAACAGGCAAACCCATGGACGCTGAAAATAGAGGGGCTTTTGCCGGGGGCGGAGAGGAGTGACTGCTCCTTTTTTGGGGGGGGTAACGGAACCGTCCTGGAACTTAAACCGAGGCGGTGGTCGTTCGGTTAAAGTGTCTATATCAGACGCTGTAAAAAGATGGATTTCATGGTATATAAATTATATCTCAACAAAGCTCTTATAAAAGAGAGGGGAGAGGGGGAAGGTAGTGACTGCTACTAATTATTCATCGGTAAACAATGGGGCAGCTGGGGAAGATGGGCCAGCCTGCATTGGTGTGGGTCGCAATGGTGCTAGTAACTACTGCGTATGGTAGGAACTAGCCTGCCAAATGCTTTCGTTACGTCTCTAGCTTTCGCCGTCTTAATTTGACACGGGAGGAAGCTGAGGCCCTGAGTAGAAGGAGGATTGCACCCTAAGCATTTCGGAGCTCACCGACCTATTTCCCTCTGTGTTGTGATTTCAGGGTCAGCATCATCC